TAATAAAGGTAATGGTGCATTAATCTAGAGCAAAATGAAGTTGATAAGCACATTTCTATTAAGAATTTAACATTACAACATAATTATTAACTTCAAGTATTTTGTTTCCAAAAAATGAGAAAAAGGGAAATAATTCTAACAAAATAAAAGATAACCAAAATATTTTAATTTTTATTTATATTATATTTAAAGGCTTAATAAACAAAACAAGTTGGAAAAAAACATATAAATTATTTTTTTTTTTTGAAATATAGTATTTTATGTCGTAAGCCCAATTGTGCATTTTTCACCAGCCTGTAAAAATTCTATGAAATAATGAGCTATAGATAGAAGGCACTTTCACCCAAATACCCCCCCCCCCCGGTTTTTCCAACATGCCCCCCACCCCCGATGGATACCCATTGGACAACCCATGTAAGGCACTTTTCCTGAAAAAAATCACCCCCCCCCCCCCCCCCCTGGACATGTATCCCTTGGGATCAATAAATTTACATCTGTATATGATATCGTAGATCTGTTAGAAAAAAACACTGACTGACCATATGATTATAAATATTTAGATAAATTTAGTAAATGTTGAGGTGCAGAAGAAGGCAGACATTTTGTAAATACATAAAACTGGACAAATAATGAATAGTACATGTATATACATACAGTTGCATCAAAAATATATCTAGATTCCAGTGTTAACATTTTTTTGTCATTTCAAAGTATTTCAATGAAAATAAAATTCACTTACCAGAAAGAGGAATGCTCTGTGGCCAGTCTGGCCACAGAGCCCCACCCAGACGTAAAACGTTCTATCAGACTCCTAAACACTAACTAATACTGTACTAAACTAGTTGATACTTATTCTAAGATAGTCCCTTTGAGAGTTTGCAAGAGCTTAGTGAGTTTCAGAAAATTTCTGAGAAAATACACATTAATTCAAAGCAAAATTTCATTTTTTTTCTGTATTTATCAGTGTTTATGTTTATATGTGACAACCTGAGAAGCATATCCATTGGTCGCTCATGTCACGTGACATCGCACGATATACTGACTACTTTACGCAATATAATTTTACTCTTGTTTTTTAAGTTAAAATGTGTTGTTTTTAAAAGTTAATTGTTGTTTTGAAAAAGTAGTTTATTAAAAAGCCCCAGATATGCTTTATTTATACTTGTCACAAGTTATATATATATTGGTGTCCTGTCACCTGGTCAGTTTCCAAATCTAAAAAAATTACTCATTGCCGATTTCTGTTACTTTTCCAAGAGTTTTTGGCAATTGATGCAGTACAGTATAGTGATTTAGTATTACATTCTAACTATTTGCTCCGTTTATGTCAAATGATTTCACACCAGTTCTACTTTCACTTACTTGCTCTGTTAAACATTAAGAGCCGTGTCACGACAAAACCAACATAGTGCGTTTGCGACCAGCATGGATCCAGACCAGCCTGCGCATCCGCGCAGTCTGATCAGGATCCATGCTGTTCGCTTACCAACTCTATAACAAGTAGAGAAACCGATAGCGAACGAAATGGATCCTGATCAGATCGCGCGGATGCGCAGGCTGGTCTGGATCCATGCTGGTCGCAAACCCATTATGTTGGTTTTGTCATGACACGGCTCATTTGTTAAACATCGTAAATTTCTAAAGAAACAAATCTCGTCTCTGAGGCATTATATATGTGCTTAATGCAAATGTAAATACATTTTTAAGTGATAAAACTTTGTCCAATAATTCCAGTACACGTGTTTACAACTTTCAAATACACTTATTCAACATGACTGAAACACAGAAACGAAAATTTCGTGATTTTCGTGACTGGTTTGTTTGGGTTTAACGGCACTCCCATACCATGTCGGAAATTATAACAAAACTGCAAATATTTCATTTGACTTAAGTTCATCGGGATCATTGATACCAACACTATTTAGTGTTGAAAATTGAGTACCGCTGAAGCCGGTGCTAGGGAGCGTGAGGGATGTTGCATTACATTCTCCCTCATGTACAGATTCAATCAAACCAAGTCTGCAATTTTCATGTATTTTTGTTGTGATTAATGCTTCCGAGGGATCACTTTGTTTCCAGATTATTTTTTAAGCATCATCATGCTCATCCTCGTTAAACACCTGTGCTGAAATGAGAATAAGTCATGTACCTGTGCTCGACCAGCCTAGTGCTTGACCAATACTTCTATTTGCGTACGATTTATGCATTATAGTGTATTTGTACCTGACCTGTAACCTCTACACCATGTACAAGTACACCAAGTTTGGTAGAAGCTTGGCCATTTTGCAGACGATATTAAACAGTACAAAATACACTTCTGTAATAAAAGTAGCAAAAAAACTATTGAAAGCATTGAAATAATGATAATTTATGGCAAATTTGGACAATACTTTGTTAAATTGCCTTTACTCTTATGTTTCCATTTGACTTCCATATGAATGTCCCCCAAAAATCATCAAACCCGTCTTCCTATACAGGGCAAGGGCTATGAACATGTAAACAAAGGTAACAATAAGGAACACACCACTAAAACTGTAGACCAACTGTATATTACATTAAGTATCAAACTTTACTATGTTTGCAGAGTTATTTTATTTTTAAAAAAATGTGATAATAAGTAATCTCAAACTCCCCAGTAACTGTAAATTCCAAAACTCTTATAAACATTTTACTTGTCAATGTGTAACATTAACCTGCTATCATATTTATTCTCCATCATATTTACCCCTGTACGCACCAAAACATAAATGTTTCAAAATATTTTTGAAAATGAATTGTTAAACATCCGTTTTTTTTTTCAAAAATAAAAGTTCTTCAAAGATAAAACCACCTGGTCGAGCACTGGTTTGGTTGCCTGAAAAAAATATAGTGTTATAAGGCCCTATACATGTACAACTCTGTGGTGTATCATTAAAACACGTTTGTTCATTGTGAGTTTGAATGGCCTAGCTTTATGACAAAAATAAAGTTTCTCAGCAATCTTTTTGTTTTGAAAGAGTTTTTATATGATTTTGTGAAATACTGGTTGAGCGCTGGTCCGGTGACTCAACATATTCGTGGTATGACATGGAAGAAAATACATGTAATAAATGAAGTATTATTATATTATAGTCAGTATATTGATAAAGCTTATTTCCTGTTAAGATCATGTCATGGCGAAAGATTGTCAGGTGGATATCATTAATATGGCCTGTCTAATTTTGATTTCTATCCAGATGATATATAACTTTACTTATTTTCTTTCCCTGTACACAAACGCAGCGCAGACCATGGTCGATGGACCAGACTACGGAATATTGTAAAATCGAAATAAATAGTTTCCCTAAAAACATTTTAATGTAGCAAACATAAGTGTGTTATGCTAACGATATATTACATACTTAATATGACATTCGAAGCATTTCGAGTCAACAAGAAACTGTAACATTTGCAAGTCCTGTATTATATATAGATCTGCCTGTGGAATGATAAAAATAGCGAAGGAACACCAGAAAAAGACGCCATATACTAAGTAACTAAGATGTGTGCAAATATTTCTGTGTCGGATTTGATATAAGGACTGTCATTGAATATAGCAATATCGATATATCATTATTGATATTCATCATCCGATACGATATCGATACACACTTTCTTATATCGATACAAGCTAAAATTTATTTTTTGTTAGTGAATATACCTCCTTATTTTGCCTTATAAAAGAAGTGTTCTTGGCTAACTTGAACTTTAAACTAATTTTTCAAATGTTAGTGACAAAAATTACAGAAAAAAATTCTGTTATTTAGTACAGTAGTAGCACGGCTGGTAAATGATAGAGCTGCCTCTTTCGGAAGTATACGGTAAATCGCTCTATCGCTACTTCCCGCTAAAATCAAGTGTCAAGTGTTTTCATTTTTTATGTATTATGTAAACTCTACATCAAATATCGAAATTCGGAGAAATCTATGCCATGTAGATTTGATTAAAGTTTCAAGAAAACGTAAAGTTATTATAATTGTGTTTGAAATGTAGTTGTGGCGGCGTTTCCCAGTTAGTGAATGCAGTCTTAAAATGGAGCGTTGCATCATGAAACAGATTATTTATCCTCCAATTTCCATCTTCGTAATGATATCCGTTGTATCAACATCCTTAAAACCCTTTTCACCGAAAGCCTTTTTACATTCTTTGTCCATATCATGTTTGTTCTCCTTTGAAACCACAAAGCTATCTCCTTAGTGACATGACTACCTCCATGAATACCTCCTACACAACAGAGCTGTCTCGCAGAACAACTATCCTGTATTTTCTTTATTAACTAAAGTTTTGATCTGATTTCAATATTATTTCATTTCTAGATCTTATATCTACTTGAAAAGTATTTGCTTTTAATATGAATCGCTCTTGCAAGAAAAATTATAGTGTATAAAAATAAACTTATACAGATATACCGTACGAGATCAGAAAATACCACAGAGCTTGCAGCCCTTTGATTTACAAACTCTGACAACACAATATATCGTCTTTTAGGGTTATACTTAGATACGTACGAAAAGCCTCTCGGTGAACTAAAGAAGAAATTGTGTTTTCTAACAGTCTTTGTTAAACAAAAGTGATTTTCATGTCTTATATTTACAGTTAATTAACATTTTCTCCTTCGTTAAAACATTTGACCATTTTAAAGTTTTTTGAGGTCAAGTTCATAGATTTTATTCATTCACAACTTTGCCCTGCACTCAGTTGTTTTATATTTATGGTGTATATAGATCAAGAGAAGCCTAATATCTTCGTTCTCACGTAATTCCTAAGACCATGATAGTTTCAATATACAGTGTACTAATGCGCATAAAGAAAACCGCACTACTTAGTTGATTCATAAATCTAAAAATCAAAACAAGTTGATAGTGTTCTTTCCTTTATTACCATTAATTTATTGTTACCAAAGCAAATGCCATTCTGTTACGTTTTTAACAACAACAAAAAAAACAACAGCAAAAACAGTTTTAAACCATAACACTGACTTATTTTTTTTTTCGACAACAACATTTTTATTTGCTATTGGTGTTATGGTACTAACACAACGTTAATCAATAATAACTAGTTCAACAGTGTAACTGTAACAGGCACCATCTCCATGGGAGTCAAAACATCTCATGATGGGTTCTACATCTCTTTGACCCCAGCGCAATACGTCTGATTTTATTGGAAGACCATTGATACTTTGTCCGCACCCAATGTCCCGGAAATAACACGGTCCCCAGTACTGACATTCTAATGCTTGACAACATATCCGAGTGAACTTTGAGGTGAAGATATAGTGTATGCCGAGATTTCTTCCGCCGTGTATTTCTTTACCATACCTTAGATATGATAATCATAGATATATTTGTTATTTATGAACTATCTTAATTCCGCAGATTTGGACATTTAATTGCATAACAATTAATTACTAAAGAAACAACAATTAGTCGAAACATTTTGTTATGATTGTATAGTATTTATGTCAAAGTGTAATGAACTCGGAATATGTTCATATGTATACGGCTATATTCAGAAAAACAAAAACAAACATATACATGATGTTTATGGTAAATAAAGTATATACTTTACAAAATACTTACAAACATTCATTCCCTGGCGGTGCTGGGGGCGCCCAGCATTGTGTTCGGCATTCAACAAGACCCAAAGCTGCTATGAGGCATAATAACATCAACATTGTCGTCTGCTGTTTGTAGGCAACAACTGTCTATAAATAATTGTCATATTTTGAGTAATTAAGTACAAAACTCTAAATACGTATTATGTCGTTTCATTATAGTATATATACTGAGCTCCTCTTAGTTCACGGTATTCAACGCTTTGAAACAAGGAGAAATTAGTGATGTTGAGTATAGTATTATAGAATATTGCTTAAGTCGGTGCTGGAGTGCATGAAGGGTGTTGCACATACTAAATCAAACCGAGTATGTAATTTTTATATAATCCCGATTACACTTCTTACTGATTACATGTAAGTGCGTATATTTTTTTGAGTATGCATCTTTCTATTTCTTTATTTAAATATCTGGTAAAACAATATATTCTACTGGAAACTTATTCTTTTTGGTCAGACGTACGATAATGAAATTATAATTTTGAAAGTAATCATTTTTATCAAAAATTCTATACACTATTTTCTCTAGAAATTTACCATTTTTGTCATTATCAAATTTAAGCGATTCATTTTTTTTATATAACACAATATGCAAATGATATGACATTTTGTTTTAAACAAATTTAAAAAAAATCTGGAAACAAAATGTATATATATTTCTAAACAGGACAGACAGAATGTATATAAAATAATAATAGCGCAAACATATGCGAACCCATAAGAAACTAAGCAATTAAAATTCATGGTACTGATACAGAAATCTAGAAAAATGTCAACTATCTAGGAAGCATTGCTTATTTTGTACTCTGGCTTTCCAATATAAAATAGAGTGAAATAAAAGAAAGCCCAAAACGACAATGTTGAAAATATTGCACGCTCGGTTATTATGTTCTTTGATTGAGTCTGTTCATGGACGGTACTGGAAAGTGCAAGATACCGTCCACGCCCCCTAGCACCGGTTTAAGCAGAATTCAACATTTTAAATTCAGAAACATCCGCAGATGTGTTCATACAAATAATTTTCACTCATCAGCATTTGTCTAAAATAATTTACACTACAAAAGTAAAAGTGCTCCGTCTGAAATTCTGACAAAATACGTTCATTTATCTAATTCATTTTCAATTCACCAACATCAAACACTATAGCTTAAAAACGATTTCATTTTGTGAACAATTGTGAATAGTTATCGATTTCTAACTCATGTTTATTAAATTCTTTTTAAAAATTTCCAGGGAAGATCATAGAAAAAGTCATTCTTACCTGTTTCCAGGAAAGCTTCTGAAGTAATCAGTTAATAAAATGTTTGCAGCTATATTTATATAATCTTCCATGACACACTATCCTTATTGTTAAAGAATTGTCAAAAAGTGTCATTTACTTGATACATGTATCAAGGTTTTGCTGTTTAAACGTCCAATGCAATGTTAAAATAAAACAAACAACTAGTTGTTATTTATATTCCGTGCATATGTCAGCATAAATAGATAATTCAGGCATTTCCTTCAAGATATGTTTTGCTAATAAAGGTTTTCTGCATGCGCATAAACATAAACTACAAACATAAAGTACAAATCTATCGGAAAAGGAGGGTATTATTAATTGTTTAAGGAACTAAATGAGCCGCGTCACGACAAAACCAACATAATAGGTTTGCGACCAGCATGGATCCAGACCAGCCTGCGCATCCGCGCAGTCTGCTAAGGATCCATGCTGTCCGCTATCAGTTTCTCTACTTGTTATAGGGTTTGTAAGCGAACAGCATGGATCCATATCAGACTGCGCATTGCAGGTGGTCTGGGTCCCTCTGGCGCAAACCCCTTATTTGGTTTTTTTCTACGCGGCTCAAATTTTAACTATTTAAAAGACCCAAAGAACTTATTAAAAGTTTGTTTTCTCAAATTTTTTTTCCATAAACTATTTGTTCTGAATGTGATAAAGATTTTTGCATAGTCAACAATAAAATAGACGAGGCGTCCAGTCTAAATTGTTTTTCAATTAAAACAATTTATCTAAAGTTTAACCATTTTAAGAAACGAATACAAGGTCAAAAATCTTATAAAGAATAGAGGTAGTCTTTGAAATAGAGAAAATAATGGCGGACCTGATACATATTTTTATTTCAAAAAGCCATTTCCTTCTAAATCTCATGTAAAACCTTTAGCTATTGAAATATTTTCCCTATTAAATTTTGATATTCATATCTCAAGTGTTTGTAAAAAGTCAGCAATTGAAATAAATGTATCAACCACTTAATCTTGATGCAAAAATTCTTATATATGTCGTACAAAAGTTTTATCGGATCTAACTTTAATTTCTGCCCTTAAGTTTGGCATTTTTGTAGCAAAGACAATACAAACAATTTGGAAAAACTTCGACATAGAGCTCTGAAACCTATAAAGATCTGCCTGAACTGGCCATCACTCAATATCAGTAGAATTAAACAACTTGCAATTGTATTCTTCAAGCATCTTAACAGCATTTTGTCACGGTTCAGAACTGTTTACTATTTAGAGGAGAAGATGTGTAAGCGGAAGGATAGCTCAGTCGGTAGAGCCGCGTTACGGTATTCCGAGGGTCCCGGGTTCGACTCCCGGTCAGGCTGCACATTTTTCTCACCCTGTGACATTTGGCGCCCAACGTTGGGCCGTGACTGCATATAGCTCAGAGATTATTTTACATTGCTCTGTAACTCTGTGAAATTCGAGGACGAATTTCAATATAGAAGGGGAGTATGTCACGGTTCAGAACTGTTCTCTATTTAGGGGAGAAGATGTGTAAGCGGCCAGATAGCTCAGTCGGCAGAGCCGTGGTACGGTATTCCTAGGGTACTGGGTTCGAGTCCCGGTCAGGCTGCACATTTTTCTCACCCTGTGACTATTTCATCTAAGTATATTCAAGAACTTGTTAATGTGCGTTCGTCAAATTATAATTTTAGATACCAAAAAACATTAGATGTACCTAAAGTACGCTTAGCCAAGTATGGTAAAAAAGAGTTTTCGCTTTGAAGCATCTAAAATCTGGAATAGTTTACCTAATGATCTTAGATGCACATCTGACTTCAATGAAGTTTAAACGACTAATTGAAACATGGAGCAATGATAAGTGTGCCTGCTCTATGTGCATCTAATCTTTTCCAGTCCATGTTTTATTTCACTTAATTCATGTTTTGCTTGTAAATAATTTTAGTTATGTTGTCAAAATGATATTGCCGATGAATTCCACTATATATTAAAATGCCATTTCTTTTGTCTAAGAAGGAGATGTCTAATTCCAAGTTAATATTACAATCGACCGAACACACTTAAATTCAAAGAACTGAAGCAATCGATTTCATTCTCTTTTATTAAAAAATGTTGTTATTTTCTCTAAACGTATAATGTCATTTTTCAATAAAATTTCAGTAAAAATTCCTGTTCCTTTTATATGAGACACAACCTAGATACAGCAAATACAATAGCTTTCTTTTAATATGCTAAATTTATTTATTTACTTTTTATGAAGAATATTGCCTTATTTAACAGTTTAACCTGTCAAATGCTTACAATTTGTTGTTTTTTGGTTACTTTACTGTACTTCAGCTGTTACCTGTAATGTAACCGGGAGCCATTATTGAATTGCTTTCAAATTAAAAAAAAACAATGTCTTGAATAACTTACCCAGTCAAAAGAATGAATTGTTATTTTTTCAGCTCATGTGTTTATCCGTTCATTTCTTTATTTATAAAGTGTATTTCATATTGTCCAACAACATTGACCTGGCATTCTTGCATTTGACCCTGTAGTCGGTATATTCCGTAAACTTTACGATCTATGAATATAAATATCCATTTTTATAAATGGTGTAAATTAAAAATCCCTATTAGCGCAATCGGTAAAGTGATTTCACTTGCAGATTGTAGACGTAAACAAATAGGTTCGAATCCTATTTTAGCGATTTTCTTTTTATATTAATCTTTAAATTGCCATTCTCTTAAAACTATTGCAAACCTTTTTGTTGTGTATACTGTAATATTTTTAATAACTGCCTTGATAGCGTGTATGCGCTAAAGCTTATACGATTGCATGATGTCACAAAGAGAACCGTAGGAAGATACAGTAATGAAATGAAAAAATATAATTGTGTATGAAAACACCACTTATTTAAAAGGTATTCTAAAACCAGGCGTAGTTTAACGATTTCAAATTAATTCTTGCAAGTAGATAAAACAAAAAAAATGACTCATAACGTGCTGTCGATAAGGATTCGAACCACAGATCTTCAGTTTCGTAATCGGACATCTATACCAATACAGCACACCTCAATGACGAGTGAAGTTAGCAAACATATCGATGAATTCGATAGATACTGGTCAGTGTTTAATTAGATGACCTTTACGATAGTTAATGAAGTGCCAGGTCCATATTGTTGGACAATATCTTTATAAACCCACGTGTATACATTCACAAGTCGCACGAGATCCTCAATTACTATGAACTTTGTTTACTGAACTGTAAACACCCACGCATTGGAAACTTTCCCACCTACTGACCTTTTGAGTGCCCCTTTGAATGTGTATTACGTAAGTATAGGATAGATCATGAGTACCAGTTGGATGTGAGATTTATCAACGAGCGAAGCGAGTTGATAAATCTCACATCCAACTGGTACGAGCGATCTATCTGACTTAGACCACAGGTAGTTTTCTCTGTTTAAGGTGAAGATTTAATATGCGTAAACGATTTTTTCTCCGACAATGACATAGGGACATCCAAATATTTCTTACTCAATCTATTTGGCCTTATTGTAGGTAAAAAGGCACGAGAAAATGGCATAATTCATGTTCTTTCATAAGTTACTGTATACACAATCTTATGAATGATAGATTTTACATTCCATCACAAAGGTGCAGTAACAAGAAATTTCGGAAGAATTTAACATTTCTGAATGTGATATTATTACAATTTTTCAAGTTGAGAGATTTTGTAGTTATTCCTGTTGATTCTTCATTTAAATGATTAAATGACATAACAACGTACACAGTGCTTGAATATGAAGTCAAGAAGCAAAACTGCTTACCGAAAAATACTCTTAGACAGAAATCATGGGCGATGGCTGCTTTTCTCAAGAGTGGGCTCTTGGAGAAACGGGCAGGTAACTTTCATTTAACATTTTCCTTAATGCTTAAACAATCCTAGGGTTCAGGATATTGATTGGTTGTCCGGCTGAAGTTGAAAATATTTTACTTGACATATAGATTCGTGTTTTGGTTGTATGCTTTATATACATCCTGCATTGTCTTTTTTACCTCATTCATGAACTAAAACAATATTTCAAACGTCCCTCTGAAGCCTTAAAGCATATCATTGCCTTAGCGTTGCAAACGCAGTCCAGTCACCGTTCGAATACTGCACCCCCTGTCCACCAGTAGAATCCCCTCATCCCAAACCGAAAATGAATGTACATCGACAGTGTCTGCTATTAAGAGTGAACCGGGCATAATGCACAAGGCACAGTGCCTAAAATATTAGCACAAAAGCGGTCGTAAAATGTAGATACATATATATATTTAAATAGATTGATAAACGCATTTCATTTCATTATTGCTTGTTTTTTCTTATTTACAAATACAGTAACTATACTTGTAAAATGACGAAATAAATTGGTCAAAGGACTATTGCTATCTGTTAATTTTTAAGAAGGGAATTACACTATAAACTATTATATACATATAAATTTTTCCCGCATTAAGCGAGCACATAACGGGGTTTTTCTTTCAGTTGAAAACAAACATGATAGTTATATCAAACACTTTACTGTGATATGTGGGATATATCAAACACTTTTAAACTACTCTGATTGGCCGAGAGAAAACAACTGTGGTCTAAATTGCTGTATAAACGCTAAAGTGACTGTACATATAATTTAAGATTTGTTGACCATCAAATACTTAAATTGTCCCCTTCGTTAACAAAATAAAAATTAGTAAAACCCTTTCCCACAATTTATATACATACCATAATCTGCGTGCAAACTGCCATGTGCATATACTGTATATCTTATATTTGTCAAATTGAATAAATCATATTGTTCTCATGTATATGTATCTGTAGAACCTGATTGTAATAAAGGTATATGTCTGTCTTCTGTCTTACAACCAATTAGTTTCCATGTATCTTACGTTATATTCTTTAATGTTGTTATAAAGGTATATCTAGAATTTTTCTATTATTTCATCAAAACTACCATATAAAAATGTAAATTGATTGTTGTTAGTTCTTTTATATTAAAACATTTATACAGAATTTTTATAACTATCATTTAAGCCAAAATTAGTGGCATAGACGGTAGGAGCATGAACAAGTTATATCGAATCAACCCTGCAACATGTTCAACTTAGTGGTGTAAGCCCAAAATAAAAAACCATGTTTTTAAGTTTTTCGTACGCATTTTCCTTATGGTGCGGTTGGTCATTCAAATGCACATCTGTACAGTGTTAAGGGATAAAAGATATTGTTTGTGAAAAAGTTTGATTAGATTGTCTTTTTTTTGATGATCAGAATTCAAACCAGTAAAGCAGTACAACTTTTAAGGTAACCATATATCTTCTTGACACTGGTGAGTTGTTTTGTTGTTGTTGTTGTTTTGATGTTGTTGTTGTTGTTTCTGATGATGTTTTTTTTCAAGTCATTGATTTTAAAACAATTTCTATTAGACGGAACAGATCGTAACTTAATTAACTCAAAACTTCATACATACACACACACACGCACACACACACGCACGCACGCACAATGCAAATTCAATTTGTTTGGTATTCCAAAGGTGTGAAGTGTATAGAGATGGAGTTCGGGAAATGTATTTCTTTAGAAACTCGGGTTCAATTTTCTGCTACTTTCTTCACATATATAGAAGAAACTGTATGTTTTCATCTTTTATTGATTACTCATAATTATTATTATTATTATTATTATTATTATTATTATTATTATATCTTTTCATACTCCATATATATATCTCATACCCTAATATTAAAATGCTTAACAATAAGGTATCCAACATATTTTTAAAGTTACAGCAGCTTATATATGTTAACAATGAAAATAAATACTACGTTTTTCTACATATTTATTCTTTACCAATAAACAATCCGCTCTACATATGCACATATATACTTAATCAATTGGAACAAGTTTAACTGTATAACTGTAATAAGCTCCCTTATTAGAGCCCTGGTCAAAACACCTCATGATGGGTTCCACGCCAGGTAATTCCCAATGCAACGCCTTCGACTTTAGTGGGACTGCGTTAATGCTTTGTTAGGCCACATGTGTCACAAATCACATTCGTCACAAGTTTTTATGAATTTGTGACGAATGTGATCACATTCGTCACAAATGACTTTTGTGACGAATGTGATTGACCAAAATCGGGTAAAAATGCCAATCACAAACGTCACAAGCAAAATTGAGAATTTTTAAACAGGCGAATCACAAATGTCACAAGTTTATTTTTCAATATGTGATACACGGAATATCATAAGGACAATCGTGGTTATATCAGTGCGATAGTACAAGGGCGACAATGCAATAAATCGATATTGTGATGTCGACATCACGATACCAATATCTTTTCACCACCATTGCATTATCGCCATCGTACTAACTTGTTGCAATATCGTATCGTCGGCATTGTATTGTCTTCATAGAACTGTCGCATTGTCTATTTATAGTAACAAATGCAATAAACTAGTATAATATCGTTTTGACGTCGACGTCATTTAACGTTAGCGGACATCGCTTGATTTTACCGCGTTTATAAGGCAAAATAACAACAATTTTTCGGTTTATCGGCTCCAAAATTTAACCTGTGATATGAATAAAATAATAAAATGCTCGGCAGAGCCTCGCAATTTATTATTTTATCCAACTCGTTTAATAAATTCAATATGAAAAGACACTCATGTAATATCCTCTATATTGGCCTACGAGACCGCTAAAGCCTCGGGCCAATACCTCTTCTTGGCCAATTTGCATTCAGACACACTAGAACCTGTGTAATAACCTATAATACGCAACGGCAAACACTATAAATAGAAAAAAAATGTGAATTTAAACGTATATGAGTTTTGTCCATGTAATATGACTGTTGTCAGGTGACGTGATGCGCCAAATATCGATATCGGTCCGACTTCCGGTTGGGCCGATATCGATTTCCCACTTCGGGTTGCTAAAAAAACGCGGAAAGATTGACAATTTTATAAGAAAAAATACGTTTAACTGAAATATATCTTGATAAAAAAGCAAAATTTGAAGAAACACTTGAAAAACAATCTCCAAACAGTTAAATAATCGCCAAAATATATTAAAAACAATGTTTGTGAGGAAATGACGTCAACGTCATTAGACGGACGTCAAAAGTCCCTCGCTTTTTAAAATAAATTATACATTGTCGCTGAACAATGTTTTTTCAAACGATTTTTTTAATTCTATAATGAAAACCAAAACATAAATGAGCACATGCAATAAAAAGGTTATAGAACAGGTCTGGTGTGCCTTAATGCGATATGGGTCTACAAGATCGGTATTAGCCCTCGGGCTCTTTTAGTGGGCCAAAATCGAATAAAGGCACATCAGACCTTTGTAATAACCTATAAATATATCCCGCCTCTAAACCAATGAAAATTCGTGAACTTTATTAGCAGTATTATATTAGTATTATATAATTGCGGCTAGTATTGTGCAATGTGAGTTTGCTTTTAGTCTTCTTGGAATCCATGTTGTTATTCATTACTTTATATTCTAGCATAAAACTGCCGTTATAACCATGATTTCGGGGTGTTTTAACAGGACCAAAAAGGTCTTTTAACAAGGAGAATTCTAGCGCTTCATGCGCTTGTTAAAACACCTTTTTGATATACGTTTTCCGTGGCACAGCGTCAATAACGGAACGCTGCTTAACTAAAACGGAAATGAACGTCACGTTCACATACACGCAATACCGTGCAATCCGCAGAAAATCAGTGATGTTGCTTGATTGTGTATGGATTGTGTTAGATTTATGCATGCTTTATGCTAGAATACGTTTAACGAATGATTGTTCCGTGTCATAACAACTGCTGAAACCCTCGGGATACGTTGGGTCGGGTACCAACTAATCCCTTGGGTTTCTACAGATATTTTAACACGAAAAAAGAAACATGCGTTATTCCTATATTACGTATCAGAGTTCTTTAGTACTGACGGCTCATCTAGGGTTCAATATGGCGCGGTTCATATAGTTATTTTACCAGTAATATCTATAAAGGAAAGGGTTAAATGAGAATCATGAAGGAAGTTGAATAAATAAACTTAAAGAAAACTTAACATTTCTTGTAGAATATGATTGGTCTTGCGAAGCTATAATTACACGAGGTCATTCAAATATCTTGCAAGCAAATTCGCTGAATTAAATGTTTACCGCCGACAGCATCATATACTGATTGAAAATTAAACAATTGCAGGATACATTCGCGAATAAAGACTCCGGGGAAATAGTCGGTTTTAGAGCCATAAATTAATCAAGGGCCCATATCACTCAAGGTCACGGCGATAATGCACATGCCCTTTTTGTATTGAAGGTTCCCACACAATTAAAATTAGATATATTTAACATTTGAAGACATGAAATACTTAAGTTATCTGACTGAATATTAAGCAACCAGGGTCTTAACTTCGGGTAAGTGCCCGTCAATATACACATCTCCGCTTGGTATTTAGATGTACCCACATAGTTTTGTTTAAATTATTCAGCAGATTTGTTGAAGAATAGGGTTGAATTAATGCTTTTCTATGAACAATAAATGATAATAAATTATGGATCATAACTCTGTATTAAACGGCCAAACGGGAAATACTGATGATGATGATGATGATGATGATGATGATATGCACATCTTGTTTGTTTGTTTATGTGTTTATCTAAAGTCGCCGCCGGAAGCCCATAGATAAGCGACCGTACCCTCAAGTCGGACCAAATCCTTTAGTGTCCCGTCGAGATTTTTCGAGATGCGCATCTCCTCTTTATATTAAAACTAAATTTCGTTGAAATTCCTAGAGCGCAGAAAAAGCAATAGTTCTATATACAGTGTTTTTATAAATAACAACAACAACAAGGGGCAATAAGTCTGTTTTAAAAAGAAATGGAGATATGCTGGTTATATGTGCAACTGGTTTGTGAATGAAGGTTCCTACAAAGTTGCAGCATCGATATCCATCCAGAAGTTGCTGAAAAAATAGCGTGAAACGAAATGATTCCATATACAGTGTATAATAACTAATCAATGGCCGGATAGTGCGGAAACTAAATCTGGACTGACAGGCGGACGAACACGCTAAAACAGTCCCATCACTCCCGATTTCATCAGCGGGGGAGGGGATAAAAATGTCTGTAGTTTTAGTTCCAATAATTGATTTCAGTCCTAAAAATTTGTGACGTTTGTGACTCAGTGAAAAGCATTGAAGAAAACAATATTTATCTCAAATTTGTGACATTTGTGATTTTAAACTCGTGACGAATGTGATTGTCTAAAACATTGGATCACATGCATCACAAAATTTGTGACGAATGTGATCTCATTCTTCACAATTGTGACGAATGTGATTTGTGACACATGTGGCCTTACAATGCTTTGTCCACAACCGACGTGCACAAACTCGCACTTGTTTGGGTTAGCTCGACAACTAAGGGCATCACAACATGTGTAGGAGAATAAAGACGTGACGCTGTACTCTAGTCCTTGTTCGTTACCAACAGGATAGTCGTAGCCATACCTTCAATATCAAAATAAGTTAACGGTATTAAATTTGACAATACATATGTACAATCAAAATGAATTATAATGGTAACAGTTTGGTAAAATGAATTAATACAAAATGTATAAAGAATTTTTTTTTTCAATATTTTAAGTTCAGATTTAGTGAAGTAATTTCTTTCTGGTGATTAAACGGTTCATAAGCCAAGTTATTTCTGAAATTATACGAGTGAAATGATATATCTGTCTCTCTTAAATTCAAGAAAAGCTTGAAGTAGATATAAAGATATATACTATTGAGCTATTCGTTTTTCAGTTATCAGAACAGTTTTGTTTTTCTATTACCAAGCAATAGTTGAAATTATCTCCTTTTTGTTGTCTTGTAACTATACTTTCCAATCAAATGGTACATAAAATAATTTTCGTGACGTCTGTAAAACGATTCGTTTCAGAAAAGTACATGAATTATATTAAATGAAAAGTTTAAAGAAACATAGGCAAACATATTTTTTCTAATTTTTGGATTATGAACTCTTTATTTAGTACGATCAATCTATTTTGTCAAATTAAGTTACGTGGAAAGTACCCACGCAAATGTCAATAATAATCACAAAATATAACGAAAACGTCCGGCAACAGGCGAGGGCTTATTGATCGTTATTGCTCCTTATCTAATGATTCTTTAGGTGTAACCCTCATAAAACGAGAGAATATAAAAGAAATAGTATGTACAAAATTATGTAACGTAATAATTCTGGGTAAAACCGTTTACTTACTGGCATGGAATACCAGGACTATTGGTGTCAGCCCAGCAACCCCTGCCTTCAACAACAGTCCATGGAACAATCAATGCTAATAGGGTTACTGCCAACAACATCTTTGATTCAATTGTCCCTGAAAATAAAATGAAAAAACGCTTGAATGTAAAATATTACTGTAAAATTTTGAACATAAAATATAATTTTTAGTTTTTACATAACAGTGTTTCCCCATATATTAAACAATAAGTCGAATATTAAAGCAGCTTATATTTGAGTTTATTTCAAATTATGAATCTTTGCAAATCAATATCAGATTTCAGGTTAATTTCATGTTATTTAATATATAGCATCATGCAAACTGATATGAGATTGGTTCATAATTGAACATCATTTGCCATTTGATTTCATATAATCTAAAATATATCCAAATAATTATTAAGCTAGTTAAAATGGTGCCAGATATACTTTGTATCAAAGCATTTTTGTGCGTCCTTTTTTTCTTCAGATTATTTAATACCAAACTGTTCTTACAATTTTATTTTAGATTTTTTCATCGCCGTTCTATCGTCATACCTAAATATTTCAAAAAAAAAAACAACAAAAAAAAAACAGTTTATAACTTCTTTTCATACCGCACGTTTGAAACATCGCTGTTTCATTGGATTATCGGGACGTTTATAAAATCCATATTCACGGTTACGGTAATATTATGAATAAATTTTCGATTTCCTTCATTTAAAGTTATTTTATTGTATTATAAATTTGTTATAAAAATATTTTAAATGTTATATGACCTTATAAACGGCTGATTGCCATATAATCATTGCCTAGCAGCTCGGGATATATAAATAAGTTACTACCGTTTAAATAAAGCCATATAAACTGTATATACGAGTATATATAACTTATATAGTATTTTATATCTCTCAAAGAAAATTGAATTATCAAAATGCAACAACCAAAACTTAAAATGAACATAGAAATGTTTAAGAAAAACATACCTGTTCCCTTTATAAATCTGCATCAAATGTTACAGGAAAGTGTCTTTATGCATTTATAAACAAGACGTACAGAAAATAAATGAGACTTTGTCAAAAAGAAATGCTTAAATTTATCATTTCTTAAATGTTACACTCGTGTTCGACTTAAGGGGTGAAAATATATAACTCGGTTTAATTTACTTTTATTTTAAGCAAGACGACTTTATTATAAAACTTGAAGTGAAAACATTAGTAAGTTTAGTAAGTAAAAGCAAGTATTTAACATAAACCAAATGTACGTATCGTTTGAAAACTAAATGCAAACGTTAAAAACATTGTGGTTTCGAATAATAGGTAATAGTCACTGTATTAGAGTGTACTTCATACTTTTTAATGATAAAATCAATACATCTGTACATGACTACTGCCTCATAAGATAGGGTCAATTGGTGATATTCAAAATATTAACGCAACGTTTGTCTATCACGTCACTGATTTGTTCATATCTTTAAGCATAGCATAAGTCTTATACCAACTCTATATTGTGATTGTAAGTATTTTATATGTGATGAGTGTTTTGCTCTAAAAGAATTAATCATTTCCTATAGATATGTAATATCGGATCATGTATCTCACACTAAACAACAACATTTATGTATAATTATTTCATGATGTGTTGTCATGTTTAATACTTAATACTACCTATTTACATAATTTTTAATTTTATTACATACTTTCCATAATAGATCAATTCACTTGAAATCTATTTACGTTATATATATATATATTTAGATGTGAATATCAAACAATGTACAGGAAACCCAGACTCACAGGCAAAGCTACGCTCTGTGTTCTTAGATAAAAGCCTTAATGAATTTTCAACAAAATATTATAAGAGCCATTTATGTAAGATATTACACAGGTTTGTCTTGCAGACAGAATCATTATATTATCATTGGGTAATATTTTAACTTGTTTACTAAAATAAAACACGTACTTCACAATAAAACAAAACTAATACACGTGCATAACTGCCACAAAATAAAATGAAATTATAAGTCATTTTAATGTTCTATTACACTTCTGTTAGTTTGCGAAAAATACACTTTTAAGATAAATTTGGTGCGTCAAAATTAAATATCAAAGAGTAAGCATCATTTCTCAACCTGTGTTACGTGCGAAATAGTAATAATATATATGTTTGCAACAACGTGAAACGTTATAATCCATATAGAACGAAATTTTAATTCTTTCTTAATATATATCATATATTTTTGGATGACCAATAATATCAAGAGCAAGACTGATAATTATTATATGTACTCCACAGAATAATTACAAGCATTCTGACAAATTGTTTAAAGCTGTTATACAGAGCTGACATTGTGATACATTTCTATCCTTTATTCAATCAATTAATAATTATTTATGTGTCTGTTATTATAGCTTACATATTTATCTATTTACCTTAAATATGAGTATGCTTCTAGAAATATTGATTTCTGAATTGCTGTTTTAGTTTAAACAATATTTTATTAATAATCCACACATTTACATAATAAACTACATAAAATAAAATTTACGGATTGAGTAGGAAGCTTGTAAAGCTTTTTGAAAACTCTCTCCGTAATCAGTATTTAACAAATTTCAAATAAATGGTAACAAAATATAAATATCTAAACTAAACTATACATATCATATCGACTTGTTCTTGATTTCTTACTATACATACTATGTTTATGTCAAGTATTCATGAACTAAATTTAAGATACATTGCTGTTAGGTTAGAGGTATAAGCACGAGTATGAATTCATTTTTAAAGGGATATATTGCTTAGTTTAGTGATTGGTTAATTAAACTAATATGTTGAGAAATTTAATTATTAAAACATGTACATTGGAGGAGAAGTAATAATAGAAGAGAAAAATAGATAAGGAACAAGAGAAAGAAAGAAAGTCACTTTACTACTATGGAGTTGGAGGACCTTTTTCTTTTCAAACGAATATTATTATGTATCAAATCTTTTTGTTTTTTGTATGTATTTATGTATATGTGATATAATTGTTTCGTTTTGAGCACCGGTAAGTGAATTATTCGCCGTATAGTAAAGTATTCAATGTTACAGTTTTGATTTGACTTACATTGTTTATAAGGACAGTGCGGTCATCTTGATACATGGGGCAGCGGAGGAAATAGTGTTCTGTATTTTCTATTTCACCACATATGCAAAAAGGGCTGTCTATTATGCTTTTTGAAAACAGATGTTCTTTCAGAGAGCTGCAATGTGTTCTTAATCGTGTATGTATTATTTGATATCTTCTTTGACCTATATAATAGTGAGCTGGAACTTTTTGGATATCTTCATTTAGTCTTTTTTTTGAAAATTGGAAGCGATGGTGCATTTCTTAATTCGACAGGGAGATCATTCCAGTCTTTAATCGAAGATCGTAAAAATGAATTTGAAATAATGTTGAGTATGACAGAAAATATTTCTAGTGTAACTTGCGTTTCGTTAGTTGTATACTGAAGTTTATCCTACTGTGTTTGGAGCTATGAAAGATAGATATTGTGGAGATATTTTATATAGCAGAATTAGTTTATGTTTAGAGCGTCTTACTTTTAAGGGTTGAAAACAAGTGTTTTCATACTGATTTGAGAGAGGATCAAGTTTCGTTGAACCAGTTATAATTCTGCAGGCTTCAAGTTGGATTTTTTCTAGCTCGAATTCATCTTGTTGAGTAATATTATCCCAGAATACATCTGAGTATTCAAGAAGAGGACGGATGAAAGAAAGATATATAGTTTCGGATGATCTGCGATCAGTGATGAATTTTAAAGACCTCATTATATTAAGTCGTTGCCATGCCTTTTGTGATGTATTAAGTAAATGGGTATGCCAAGTTCCTTCAGATGAAAAACTTACTCCAAGATGTTTGTGAGTGATCACCTCATTTATTTGTATTTCGTTCATACAAAGGGAAGAATGAACAGGTCTATTAACCTTACAGGAAAAAATGACAGATTCAGTTTTATTTGGATTGAAAGTGACAAGCCATCTGTTTGCCCATACAGTAATTGCTGTTTTCTGTAAATTGATATTGCTTTATGTTTACAGTTATATATTTGACTACATGTTATTATTGTGTCTAGCTGTTAAACTGTTTTGTTAATTTTTGTAGTTATATGTTTGTATATATGTTCAGCTCTTCATGTACATTGAAGGAAATAAAGTATCTATCTAACTATCTATTATCCATATATAAAATGCAAAACAACAACACATTTATATTTTGTATGGTGTAATGCTGAAGTTATAAACTGAACAAAATGCGATTTTATAAGCGATTTAATAATGTTTTATTGTTTATTCATCTTAGTTTTTTTTATCTGTAAAATAAATTAAAATCGACAACAATTTATAGAAACCACATACAAAGATCCGTCTATTTCGCAAAATTAATCGTCCCGATTGTAAGTTCAATAAATGCAAATATATCTGTGCCATCACAACGAAAAGAGAACATAATTTGCATAAAATTGACAAGTAAATCGAACATGGTGTTGGCAATTGCATAGTATTTTTGTTTGCATGAGCATGTTTAAAAAATGAATATTTTCATCACACGATTTCGGGTTATGTGTCTCCACGTTTTTCATTTTATTTGTAACGATATTAAATGTATTTGCTTGACATCGTAAGGACATTTTGTTTGCTATTTCAACCCGAAAAACTCAATCTGAAGCCGTTTTTCAATTTTCATTTCATTTAAAAAATTTCTCCAACATTCATATTTCGATTGCCTATTTCATATCTATCCGTGGTGTTGTAAAGGTCATTTTGTAATACTGCAGAATACTGTTTTAATAAAAGTGAAAATCTTATGGTGTTCTTTATGTCTTTTTTGTCATATTATCATATGCACTTAAAATTACAAACTTTTCACTTTTCCTCGGCGACAATACACTATCAAAGGTGTCACTGCTGTTGAAGGACAGTTTACTTTAAATTTCAGCACGATTTGCTATTAATTAAACAAACATCTGCATGTTATTATATCCAAATATAGAATAACAAAATTTATGGGATATCTTGATTGCCAGTTTCATAATTCATACGCACAAAAAACAGCTACATAAAGTACAGAATGAAGCTTATATGACCTCGTATATGAAGATTTGAAAAATGAGTTGGTATTATATTCGTTATTATGTTATGTTCATTCGTTTTAGAGATAAGTAGCGTTGTATTACTTTAATATTCTTTACAGGGCCTTTAATCAAGTTTAAAAAAAAAAGACACGGAAAAAATCATATTATTTTATTTCTTCATTGATCAGCCGGTGCACTTAAAGTGAAAATAACATGCAAAAGATGAAGTAGAATTATGCAAAAATTTAAAAAAAAGAAAGAAAGAAAAGAAAAAATACGTGAAAAGATAAAACGGGAGAAACGGAGTGAGCAAATGACTGGTAATTTTGCACTTAAATTATATTGGTCTCTACCACATCAAATGAAAAACAAATCTTGAAAACAATATTTCAAGTCCCTTCATGTAAGAAAACGCCTAAATTTTGTCCCTTAAAACTCAAAATATATTTGCTTTTGAAATCGATAAAAATATAATAATCTTTTTTTGTGTGCTAATGGTCAACAAATAAGTTGTGAAGTATCGCTAAGTTAACTTTGATGGGACAGACTGACAGACAGACAGACAGACAGAGAACTGAATACAGCTGTCAAATACAGAACAGAACTAATATCTCAATTCAATATTAACAACTTTATTTACAAGTTAGGATAATAAAATGAATAGAAAAAAAAACTAAAATTATCATACTCATCGATCTAGGATCTTAATCATCCTCTCCTTCATTAGAATCACGAAGGCATAATGAGGACAATATTTTATATTGGTATTACGTGGCCATTCGATGGATATTTTCACGTGCGCACGCAATAGTATAACGTGGCAATTTCAAAACGGGAAACGTGTTACATAGAGGATATTTGTTTAGTTCAGTGTAAGATCGGAATATATTTCACCGAGTGAGCACCAAAAGGAATATTTCACGAGTGGCGCAGCCACGAGTGAAATATGAACTTTTGGTGTTCACAAGGTGAAATATATTCCGATCTTACACTGAACTAAACAAATTTTCTTTTTATTACATGCAAAGAAACGTTTTAAAAAGACATTTAACCTAATACTGAATGAAAAGCGCGCCAAATAATAATACAACGTGACGTCATTTACGACGTCACGTCATTAAGTTGGTACCCAGTACTGTGCACGCTGGTATTTCACTGAAACAACGTAAGGGGCTTAAATTCAAAACAGTGAAATTATCAAAGTGGTAATTTCACTGTTTCAAACAGTGAAATTACCAGTTTTATATCACTGATATATTTCTATAAACCACCGAAAAGCATGTAATAAATGACGTTAACAACATAACGTAAATAAAATAAATAATAAGTAATAAAAAGTTTAAAGAAAAATGCAGTTTATAGAGTTAAATAAAAGTACAAGGTCATTATCCTAAAGCAAGTGCGTGCTTAATTTAGAAAAATATTGCACGGTACAATTAATAAGCTGTCATGATAAATGTCATGAAATATGCTTTCACATTTGGTAAAAGTTTCTCTTAAATATAAAGCCAAAAAAGTACATATATTAAGACGGTATAGGTATTACACTGGCTTTTGACAGGCATTGTGCGATAGTTTGTTTGCTGTATGAGTTATTGTAAATATACCGCTTACTCAATTATCTATAAAAATAAACACGTACTAGGAAGAGCACGAGGAGCACATTTGTCTCGGATTACATTTGTCTCACGAAGTGTGACCGATGTGTTCGTAAACATTCATATTTGCGGCAGATTGGACATGAGACAGATGTGTTCGACACACAATAGAAAGCCAGCGGTCGCTTATGAGAGGTTATGGCTGTTGTGGAAAGTCGGTGGTCGCTGGGGGAAGTCAGTGGTTGCTGTGGTAAGTCATTGACAGTCACGGACAGTCACTTGGTGCTTAGGACCCTGACCTGAATCATCGCATGAATAGTTCGACGCCCCGTGTATGTGTCGAACCTACAGCGGTTAGGGGCAAGTGGTTTTTCGAAATCACTCGGCCACGGAGGCCCTTAAATGATCCATGAAAAAAAATAAGAAGACCATTACACACGTATTTCGTTTTCATCAGAAATATATGTATAAAAAGTCGTCATTTTCCAAAAATTGCGACTTTCAGATTCGCCATTGAAAAGGCACTTACAACATGCATGAGTTCCTAAAATAATCCGGGTAATGCCATAATTATGGAATATCGGGCCTCTCAGAATCGGGCGAGACGCGACATTCCGATGAGACACGAAGCGAGGCACGATATTGTAACAGGAGATCTCGCAATGTCTCGCAAGTATCACGTACCAAGAGATTTCAGAAAAGCATAAATTTTCATTTCTTTAGATAGGGCAAGTATGAATTTATTAATATTCAAATAATGATTTCTGAGGAAGTTAGATGCTTGTTACCCCAAAAAAATTGCGATAAATGTGAAATAATGCGTCATAAAAGAATCAAAACAATGTAGTACTTTGACTTCAATACAAAATTCTAAATCATTTCAACTGTACAAACTGCAAAAAAGCAGCAGATGAAAAATGCTTCAGATAATTAGCCAATGAGTAACTTTTTGGAGCTAAAAAAGTATACCAAAAATACAAAGCTTTTGAGGAATACAAATAAAGCATTTATCAGGCATAATGGGCCTTTAAGTGATTTTATACAGACTATAAAGGGAATACTACTTAGCGGTATATGACCTGGAATAAATTTCTTGTCTCGCGTCGACGAACGGGATGCGAAGCGAGACGCGAGATTTCGCGAGACGCAAGATTTCGGCGAGATGCGAAACGAGTCACGATATTGTATCATTCAATATCAACCGATTATGGTGTTCCGTTTGGACATAAGTAACATTTTTGTCTCCTTGAACAGCTATACACAATGGTAAAAAGGTGAAATTGAGATGGTGCGATGATTAAAACACGATGGCACGATGGTGAAATCACGATGATGCGATGGCATGATAGAGAAAATAATATCGCGTTTTCATCATCATGCCATCGCAGTTTCATCATATCGTACCATTGTATTTTTACTATCGTAACATCGTCTTTCATCATAGTACCACCACGTTTTTATCATCGAGCCTTCGTTGTTATTCCATCGTACAATCGTTGTTTCACCATCGTACAATCGTTGTTTCACGTTCGTACCATTGTGTTTTCACCATCGCATTTACATCAATGTACCATCGTGCCATCGCGCTGTCACCATTGTACCATGGTGAACGGGGTTTAGTATGTTTCAGTGTACGCCTTCACGTTAAGCCAATCAATTTCTTGAAGAAGAGATATTATAATTAATAATTCACTGTAGTTTTTCATAAAGAAAGCATAAGCAAACCTATTGATGATTACACTTGAGGTAAAACGACGAACCTCGATTCTAAAAAAACGAATTTCTGCTGTGGGGAAATATGTGACAAATAATTCATAAAAAATGACATGAGACAAATGTGCTTTCTTGTCCATTAAAAACAAATGAGACAAATGTGCTTTCTTGTCCCTTAAAAAACTTGATCGGAGCACATTTGTCACACAAATGAGTTTTTTGGGGTAGACATTTGAGGTCCCATTTGTCTCATGTGGGACATATGCGACCGCATCGGTCTTACGTAAGACAAATGTGCTACGAGACAAATGTGCTCCTACAGGGCGTAGTCCTCGAGTATTAACCAGATTGCCGAGTGTTCTTTTGTATCATAGTCAAACATAAAAACACGTTCCCTGTTGTCACAATATGAAACCCCAGAAAAAAGTAACCAATGTACGAGCATCTGAATATGATATTTCTATCGCTTTTCCTTTATCTGCAGTCACAATAAGTAAACCCAAGCAAAAATGAGCCAATCAATGGGCATGCTCTGGAGTGCGGGTAACTTATACCTGCACTCCAGTTAACGCACTGTGCATGTTTATGTATACGATTTAACCCTGACACATTTTCAGCAGAAATGTCCCCAATTGGGCCCAAACTATGATACAATCATTAACTTAAATTTTAGTTTACAGATACGCAGTATTAATTATCGTTACACCGAGGTGATGGTTCTAACCGGACAGCATGTTGAACATAGGTAAAATTTTGTTATGAAAGAAAACCACATTTTAGTACTGTCTGACTTGATATCAAATGTGTACCCTACACAGAGGTGATACATTTAAAAAGGAGACAAACTGACATAATGTTATTATGGGCCGTATAATGGTATCAGATAGTCTTTTAATTTGTTCTGTGTAATCACATTAAGACATCATGCTGCATTTTTACATTAACACTTATAGCGTATTAGATATCAGTGTAAAAGAACAACTTAAAAGTCCGTTCAGTATATTGAATTTAAACGTTGTTATCCCTGACTTATTACAACAACTCTCGTAAATGTACTTTTAAAACCATTATTAAGTAAACAAATGGTTAACTAAGACAACATGAAGTATTTAATTAAGTTATGATAAATATTTATTATCGTTCACAAATAAAAAATCCCTTGTCATTGCATTCCTTGTTATGCCACGTGTACGAATGGTCATCACCCCGATGTATGCACACACAGTCTTTGTCATGTCCATGTCCAGTAGTGTCCGGCTGATGGTTATCCCAGTCATTTGTATTGACATGTACTGAATTGCCATTTACCCAAGAGAAATGGTCATGATTATTGAAGTCTCTGGCACCAACGCAATACATATCAGTGTGGAGTCCTAAAAATATGACATCAAGTATCTAAAATAGTGTCATGTAAATAAACACATCAAAATGAAAAAGGACTTAACAGGTTATAATGCCAAGCCTGAAATGTGTGTAAGCCATAAATGTGTCGTAAAATTATACACAACGTTTGGTAGAGTAATATGTTGTAATAAGATATAGAAATAGAAATATTTTTCATAATATTACTACTTGATACGAATAATTTAGAAAATGAATAATACAGTTATTTTTTGTAAAAGATAGTATATTTTCAGTAAGTGTATAATGGTATTAACAAAAGTCTCCTAAATAACGTGAAGGGGTTGGCAAAGAGAATGAATTGGTCGTATTTCAAAGACTTTATCGAATTCCTAAATTTTTTAAAACCAACTTCTATATAACATTTTCAAATGTTCGTATATTGTTTATCATGCGTTTATGGAAGTGCGTGCACATAACATATACTACAAAGATACCATTTTAAAGCTTCATTTAATGAAAGCACACGCATGGTAGAATATTATATGAGCCAACGGTTAATTCATGCACGACCGCTCCCAAAACCACGAAATTTAATAAATTTTAGTTTTTATACAAAAACAACATACGAGTATGTTTTATAATGTATTTCCTGATGAGAGCAGCTTTTGCGTGTGTGTCCAGGACGACAAGTTCTGAGTTTATTATTTGACATCTGTGTCTTGCATCATCCCATGTTTTGTGACTGTGATTTTGTACAAAATAGACACACATTTGCGCATGCGCATTGTGTACATACTCGAAGCCGTCACTGGTATTGCAATGCCCGTGAGTTGAAGTTGCTAATGTGGTTATATGTGTTATTCTTTCTGTATGAATACCTACAACATTATTCATATTGATTTTTTTGAAATATGTATTCATAAAATCGGTATGATTTCGAAATATTCAAAGTTTAAGGTAAAGCTGTGCACGTTTTTATGTTAAATCATGTTCATAACAAAATGTAAAATGGCAGAAGAACATCAGACGCGTCGATTTATAAACATATCGTTCAAATATTAAGTTATGAAATCGAATTTGAAGGTTTTACTCATCTATCGGCTAGGAAGACATTCTTGTATTAATGTTGACATTCTTCATAGCTACATAAATTATGCAATTTCGGAAATTGATGTGGAAATATCAAACATTGTAAGATATATCTCTAATTGTACAGACCTTTTGTAGATGGCGCAGAAGTTTGGCTAGTTGTGGCTGGCGTTGTAGCAATGGTGGTATTTGTAGGAGTATCACACCTATCATTGCAGAAATCCGTGTCGCAACACAGTGTCAAACAGTTGTCATTGTTTGACGTTTGGCTAAGTGTATAACAGCCCTTAAAAATTATATACTCATATCTAGACAAAACCTCGTAATTTACCAAATCCATAGCTAGCATATCATACAATTTTAGATCTGTTTACATAAAACTTTTCAAGTTTTCCCCAATATTTCATGAAAATTAATGTCACTTTGAAAACGCGCATGCTTGTCAAAAACGTTTTAGGACTTTTAAATGTTATAAGTTATATCAGTGTCCTTTAAAAGAAACCGTTCAGCATGATTCACATAAATTATACACACTTGCATGCTCTCGTTGAGTATCATCTTGTGATATGAAAATTATCATATTTCACTCGTGGCTTCCGCCACTCATGAAATATTTATTTACATACCACTCGATGAAAATTATAGAAAAAAACTTGAATGTCACGGTTCAGAACTGTTCGCTATTTAGGGGAGAAGATGTGTAAGTGGCCGGATAGCTCAGTAGGTAGAGCCGCGGTACGGTATTCAGAGGGTCCCGGGTTCGAGTCCCGGTCAGGCTGCACATTTTTCTCACCCTGTTATATTTGGCGCCCAACGGGGAACCGTGACTTAATATAGCCCAGAGTTAAAATCACGTTGCTCTGTAACTCTGTAAAATTCGAGGACGAATTCCAATATAGCAGGGGCGTATGTCACGGTTCAGAATTGTTCAATATTTAGGGGAGAAAATGTGTAAGTGGCCGGATAGCTCAGTCGGTAGAGTCGCGGTACGGTATTCCGAAGGTCCCGGGTTCGAGTCCCGATCAGGCTGCACATTTTTCTCACCCTGTGACATGAATATCCTCTATTTATTGATTTGACATTTTTGAAAGAGGAGTACAATTATAAGCTTTACCGTTTTTGTTTCACAACGACCTCTATAGATTGTTTCCGGAAGACCACTGAATTCGGGTGGTGCATATAACACACACATCTGAAACATTATATGAGCCGCGTCATGACAAAACCAACATAGTGCGTTTGCGACCAGCATGGATCCAGACCAGCCTGCGCATCCGCGCAGTCTGATCAGGATCCATACTGTTCGCTATCAGTTTCTCTACTTGTAAAAGGGTTGATAAGCGAACAGCATGGATCCTGATCAGACTGCGCGGATGCGCAGGCTGATCTGGATCCATGCTGGTCGCAAACCCATTATGTTGGTTTTGTCATGGCGCGGCTCATATTATTTATCATGTGCAAAGTGCATCTGATAATTAACATTTAAAGGCTCATTATGCCCATGGAAAGCCTCTGTTTGTGTTTTTCTAAATCTTTTTATTTTTGGGGTCTTGTTATAGTTTCCAAACATTTACTAATTGGTCAATTACCTGAGCGACCTTTTGGTGTTGCTTTTTGGCAACTAGTACAGAAATAGTGATCTAGTATTTTGTATGGAAGTCATAATGCTATATTTTGTTTATATTTTGCTACTTTTATTACAAATAATTTCACATTCAGGGCTAGAGGCATTTAACATACATAAAGCCATAATTAAAGGGGGAAAAATTATTTGTTTCTGAGTCAAAATGTGCCTTTAAAAAGTTTTTATATATATATATTTTTTTTTAAGCAGGACATTTTCTATTAGACACTGAAATCTAACCCACAAAAGAAATACAAAGTATACAAAATATAAAAAGACGTTATGAATATTTACTTCGTCAGCGGCACAGATGTCAACGTCATTGCAGTCGGTTTTGGGATTTAGGACGTCACACGTAAAGCAATACGGTCCTCGTTGGGAGAAAGGTATTTCTGAAGATAAAGCAATGAAAATTGACTCTAATGCGATGAAAATTTATGTTAACGGGCAGATATATTATACTTCTACTATATCATCAACAAGAATATCTACTTTAATTCAGTTCATTCATATTTCATTCAATTTTACTAATTGTAAATACAAACAACAAACTTATTGTGTGTGGTGTGGGCAAATGTACATGAACTATGAAGAAAATTACAAAGTCATTGAATAATTGCGTTGATATATATTTATTGTGATCTCTGAACCAATCAATATTAAACATATATATATGATTTTGATTCAAGATTTCAAGATCTTGAATGCAATCATATTTTATTGTTTGTAACTTAATAAAGTTATCAAAATCATATATATGTCAATTTGGCACAATAAAGTGATGTTGTCTGTAAGAATGGTCTGAATGTTGCACACAAGCTACTAGCATTAAAGATCTACATCAAATAGTTTTTAAAATAATCTAAAATTATAGTCCCAGTACCTTCATGTCAAAACAACTGTCAATGACACCCCTTTAAAATGTATAAAAGCAAAAAAGTTCGGCTAAATATATGCCAACATTAAAGGTGCTCCCAGTGCATACAATAATGACCTGCATGCTATAACAGCTTTAGTCATAGGTTAAGAAAAAATCTTGAAAAGGGTTGATCCTTCGGAAGCAATGATTACCTTAACGTCACAAGAAGAAACCTTATAAAATAAACATATGAGAGCCGCGCCATAACAAAACCAACACAATGGGTTTTTGCGACCAGAGTGTATCAAAACCAGCCTGCGCATCCGCAATCCATGCTGTTCGCCTACAAACCGTATACCATGTATTGTAACTGATAGTGAACAGCATGGATCCAGATCAGACTGCGCGGATGCGCAGGCTGGTCTGGATCCATGCTGGTCGCAAACCCATTATGTTGGTTTTGTCATGGCACGGCTCAAATTTTCTTAACCGTTTGATCCACATCCATTTCTGTTACAGTAGTCACTTGAGCAACATTCCTCACACGTTGTCATGTTAGTGGAGCGTTGTTCTACAACACTTGTTGATCTTCCTACCAGCGGCACAGAATCGACTGGACAAGTCTGAAGTAATCCCATTAATGACTGACAGTCTATGACTGTCTTGAGATTTTATTTCATCTTTGCAGAAGAAAATAAAACAAGTGTTCTTAAAAGTGAACATTTAACCCGAAAAAGTTATCAAGAATATTGCTAAATAAAATAGCAAAATATATAAATGGACTGGATTTTACAATTTAGTTATGTAGATGTTATAACATGTTTAAATAAATGAGAAGAAAAAATTTAACTGCTCTGAAGAAAAAAAGTTTGATTTTGGGTGTGTTTTTTAAATTTGAAATTAAAAGACTTTGCTTTATATATAAGATGATGCAAAAAAAGAGACTATATTTTCAAAGAGAACTTGAATTATGTTATATATTTTCTAACTGAATATGTGTTTATTTGAAAATAAATACATGTACATCTTTTTTTCTTATGATATCCACGATATTATTAATCCCATGGAATCACAGTATTATCAGTGTCAAGCTTAAAATCGCAAAGAAGACGCTTGTAAATAATAATATAAAAAAATTAAAAACGAATATATACAAAGTTAAACAACAGGGTGTATGAGGATTAGTAATTTTTGTTAATATTAAGGAAACATTGATAAAGTTTATTTCTTTCAGAACCATTAGGCTTAAAAGCCCATGAGGCATACATATATTTAACAAAAATTTCATTACAACAATATATCTTGTCAACATAATTTACTTTGGAGAAGGTTTTTTCAACCTTATTCACCCTTATTAATTGTAACATATTTCTAACTAAATTTCAGGTTTACTTCAATTCAGTTTTAAGGCAACTTTTGCACGAAACGAAACGAAACATAAAGGTGACTGACTGGGGTGAACATGATGTGCTATTTCTATGTGTGATTAGACTATTGCGCTACATATGAAAGACACTTTAGCACAATACACATTAATATCCATTATATAAATACAGCAAATTTATAAACATGTATATAAATGTATGTTTTAATGCAAATTCAAAATCACGCACATTTAAGCCAATACAAGTTTAACAGACTTATTTTGATTCAAAGAAGGTAAAAATTTCGTCACCTTTGGGCAGTACAAATGTAACGGTTTCACACATTTTCATTACTGCACGAATGTCACGAAATATAGACAAAATGCATGGCTATAGCATGTGAATATGCATTTATAGTGTAATGTTTGTAAATACTGTACCGACTTTGGTTTGCATCCTGAATTATACAAAATAAAACCATCGGCTGTTACAACTTGTTGTACAAAACAGATCTAAAATACAATTAAAAAAAGTAATGTATCTAGTAGTCAATAAGTGGCATACATGTAAAAATGTTTAAAATAATAATAATAATAAATAAACACTAGTAAGTAGATGCAATATAGTTCATTCATTTGTCTGTGATTTAAGTAAAACAACAATAATAAACGTTTTTTATGAGTTAATTGATATCTTTATAATATTACCTCATCGGAGCTACATAGCTTCAAGTTTTTGCACTCACGTGGATAAACTACATTCTGACATTGGAAACACTTCGTGCATTCACCAGTAAAAAAAAATTTTTTAAAATTTTTTAAAAATTTTGCAATGTACATTTTTCCGTTAGTAATTAAAAATTTTTTTGGCAAAAATTTAGGGGTTTGCTGTTTAAAATATAAAAATATTTTATTTTATGGGTAGGTAGATCTTTATTTTTTATTTGTTTTTTAAAAAAAAAAACTTAAGGGCCTGTTTTTAATTAAATTTCCCACCAAAAAAAGGCTAAAAACCCCCAAAATTTTAAAAAATTTTTTTAAAATACAAGAATTAAAATCGCTTTTTAAGAATAATTTTAAAGGGTTGTCATGTTCATAAAAACTTTCCCCTATTTCACACCCCATAACATGTAGCGAAGGACAGTTAAAATAAGTAGAAATTCGTTTAAAAAACCGGGTGTAGGCCCCTTCCCGGACTTCGATTTTTCGTCTTTTTTTTGAAAAATTTTCCTTTAAATTATTTTGAAAAAAAAGGATTGCAGGACAAAAAAAACTTAAACACGTATCTAGTCTACCCACAACCAATGGATCTACTTGCAAGTTCGTGTATAATTTAATATAAAACTTTGCGACCGTTTAAAAGTACAGCATCTTAAACATTGCAAAAACTTTACTCATGTGTTTTCTTGTCGGACAAGACACGAATTAATAATCTAATTCCATATAAATGTACGAGCCTGTGGTGAACGTTTATCTTGTGATGACATTTTATTAAAAAAAAAAAAAGAAACAAACAAAAAAAACCCACCAAAACTATGTACAATGTGTGAGATAGTAGCTTTAAAGTGGACTGGTCTATAATGGGCACATTTTCCACAACTACATGTACTAGTATTTCAAATATTGATAAAAACAATTTATCGTTTGTATTTCATAGGATAAAAGTTGAGTGATTTAGTATGTCCATTAATAAGACGAATAATAATATTTTGTTCTGGAACATTTTATTATCTGCTATATATAGATATGTGATATCATGTATTATACACTTACCAATAACAACCATATATAATTATCCATATATATGTACTTCATTTATTTTGTTACAGTTATTGTTTTTGTTGTTGTTGTTTGGACATGTATAATTATACAAAATACCATCAACATAATTTTTATGGTATTACAGACTTCAATTATAGACCAATTCACTTTAAATAAGTGAATAATATAATTATACCTGTGTGCATAAATTGTTATTATACAAATCAAACAGAATAAACAGTAAAAAAGCTATGATTGTCAGCTGATTATAGACAAGCATGATGTGAAAAAAGAGTCCAAAATTGATGACAATATCTGTTAGGATAAGAAAGTATGTGAATTCTCAAAATTACGAATGTACATGTAACTAATATTGAATAAATGAACCAAAGTTTAGTAAAATGCCCAAGAAAATAATCATTATAATTCCTTGTAATCCAGCTTATAATATAACTTTTGTATAAATATTTAGATAAGACTAAGGGGTTGTCACGTACACAATCTATTTTTAGCAAATTAACTTCGCGAAATTGTCCCATAACCTTTGGACATTTTCAAGATAAGAACAACAAAATAAAATCTGTGCTGATGTTTCATATAGCAAAACTACTCAAAGGAAACGAAATACATGTATATTATTTGAAATACACATGTTTATAAATAAAAGATAACATATGTCTTTCAGGACAATACTGCATATTAGCAAGGGTTGCTATAATGCACTATTACCCTGGGAGACATGTTTGGTTTTTTGTTTGTTGTTGTTGTTTTTTTCGTCATTGATGGACCAGGGGAGAGAACTATAACATTATGTTATTATGTTAAGTCGTGTGTTGACCGGGTGACATACACCATGTAGCGTCACATTAGGCTATACAGTAAAAAGTTTACGTGAGGTATAATAAATAAAGTAAAATATAAGTGTTTTTTTTTCTTCAATAAATTAAAATATTAGTGAATAAGTTTAAAGGCGAAATTTATCCCATTATAATTATGCGTCCTTGATACTTTTAATGGATTGATAAACAAAGACTTATTGATAATTATGTACAAGATTGGCATGGTAATATTGAAAATAATAATGTTTTAGATCTATATAAAATTTGCAAAACTAATTTATCGTATGAAATTTACCTCGACCTTTTACCACGTAGTTTAAGAATTTATATTTCCAAAATAAGATTATCAGCCCATTCTCTCAGAATACAAACTGGTAGATATAGTAGACATAGATTACCACGAAACGAGAGATATTGTCAGTGCTGTAATACCCTTGATATCGAAGATGAATATCATTATGTTCTGGTTTGTCCTTGTTATAATAATATTCGTAAGACATTTATAAAAAAATATTTTTATGTTAGACCATCGATGTTTCAAATTTATTCAGTTATTGCAAACTTCAAACAAGCTTTTATTGATTAATTTAGCAAGATACATTAAAGAAAGTTTGGCAATCAGAAATACTCTCTTAAATATTTGATTTTTTAACATCCTCTTGGAAAATATTTTTTTTTTTACAATTCTCATATATTATAACATCATGTTTGTTTGTGTAATACAATATCCTGTGAGGTTGCCAGTAGAATTTCTATTACTGCTATGATTGAGAAAATATTTACTTATTACTCATAACAATGTACATTCTATTATATATTCTAAGTTTCATATTGTACTTTGTGTTACCATGATCACGTGACGTGATAATTGTTTTATTTATCTATATGCATGACGATGTACTATGTACAAGTCTAAAATAAAACGTATGTTTCTGTTCTGATACATTTGTATTTTCAGTAATTATCGGATTCAATAGGAAGCTACATTGTATATACGGATTTTAATTGAAGTATGACAACTGTAAGGCGCGTTGTTGCCTATACGCAAGTAAGCGAATGATGGTTCAGCCATTTATGTCCCTTTGTGTGTACGCTCATTTAAAACGTTGATACTTAAATAAAATAAAATTACAATTTTAAATATATTTTCTTATTTGGACCTCGTAATTGTCTTTAAATTCATAAGTCATACAAATATTGTTAAGACATGGGATATTCGAGATATTGTGTTAAATCGGTCTTGATTTTCTCTCTATAAGTCGCTTTTCCAAGAAAATAGCATTAAAACGTGTGATTTTGCCACATTAAATATGCTTCTTTGATTTATCAAATGATTTTTGATATTTGTAAATATAACATTACTGTTCTGGTACTAAGATAGTTTTCCGATTCTAGATGTTTGTAAATATTACATCCGCCATTCTTGTCCCAACAATAACATTTTCGGTGTAGATATAGAGTAGGTTAGATAAGGTTTACTGACTTGATCTCCCCCACCCTGCCATTGAAAAAACAGGGGAAAATTCTCAAAAATATAAGTGAATCCCCCATCCTAGAATACTCACCGGCTACACCATGTTGAATACAAAATATTTAAGCTCTAGACGATTTTTTAAATATTGAAATCTTTTATAGCCCCTGTGACATAAATATACATTAGACTGTAACCATTTATACATGTCAACGTATTATTAAGAGTCACTGTGAAGTTTGGTCAAACTCCACCACATGGTTTAAGAGATTGCAGATGACCATGATTGACCAACACAGCTCACCTCTGAGCACAAAGTGGTCATGTCAGCTTAATAGAGCAAACAACTAGAAATGTAAATTAATCTTTATTATGATTGGCTATAATATCACACCAGAAATTGATAACAAGCAGCAGTATATTAGATGACAAAGACTGTAAAACATGACATAATATAGTGTATAATGCAATACACCACTCGAACTCCAAACCTTACTAACTTAACCCTCAACCTGCTGGAACTGAGTGATAAGCCTAGGCCATCAGTAAATACAGCCTAGGCCATCAGTAAATACAGCCTAGGCCATTGGTAAATAGAGCCTAGGCTATCAATAAATAGAGCCTAGGCCATCAGTAAATACAGCCTATGCCATTGGTAAATACAGCCTAGGCCATCAGTAAATACAGCCTAGGCCATCAGTAAATACAGCCTAGGCCATTGGTAAATACAGTCTAGGCCATCAGTAAATAGAGCCTAGGCCATCAGAAAAAAAGGTCTAGGCCATCTGTAACTACAGCCTAGGCCATCAGATAAAAGAGCCTAGGTCATCATTAAATACATCCTAGGCAGTCAGTAAAAAGTCAAGCCATAATTTTTACTGCTGGTATTGAAACCCCTTCAAAGTTCAATCAGGCTGAGCCAAATTCAGAGCAGGTTGCGCTCATTACACAACTTCAGCAGGTTAAAGGTTGAGTATTAATAAGTATCAATACTAAAGTTATACATGTATATAAAAACATGTTCATTTACTCATGATCAATAATTATAACAAATATAGCATTCAAACTCATTTACAAAAAGAGGTATTCCAGAACTTGGTAAATATAAGTTTTCACAATCATCTTCCTGGGTATACATACACTATTATCCTTATAGGTGCACCAGCATGGTGCAATACCATTCAAAACGTGACCAATGTGTTGAACATTTAAATGATACATTTATCAAATTGAAACTGTAGAAGTTTTGTTTGTATGGGGAAACCCCACATTTGCCAAGCTCTGTAATACCTCTATTGCGAATTAACTGGGAATTAACTCTTTTCAAACTGAAAATTTTTCGCTCATAGACTACTGAGTAAGTGGTGGATAATACACAATCTTTTAAATTTTGCTTCAAAATAAGGGAACGTAAAATATAATATATGTATATAAATCTAGAGCTTGGTAATCTTAATGCATTAATTTTGATTATAAAAATACATCCCCCTTAAACGTTTTTTCTCCCAAAGGCAAAAGAAGATAGCTGTTTAGCCTATCATATTATCTAAAAAAAATATCTTTGCACATCATTTCAATGTGAGGTATACACAAATTTTATTTTGCCATTATAACAAGGACCCCAGTAACACCTTCTGCAATTATGCTATAACCACCTTGTCAGGAGAAATGTCTGCCTTGATGTTATTTAATCTAAGGAAAGATTCAGTAATAAATACTGGAA